ATTTATTATAAAGGGCAATAACTCCTTAGGGGGTCAATTGACAATTTTGAGCATATTGTCTTATTTGTAGATCGTAATTTGCAGAACGTTACTGCTGTTTACAGTTTTTCTCTATCTATAATAATATTTAAGATAATAACCAAAAACTGCAAAATTTCCTTAAAATTACCAATTCAGGGGCAGCAACCCAACAACGGGTTGTCTGATTTGTCTGAAAATTTCAGTGCAAATAGATCTTAACCTGATGAACATTTTTACTACATTCTCAGATTTGCCCTTAATACTTTAGTTTCAGAAATATAAGCCAAAAACTGCATTTTACTTTATGTTCTATTTTAGCCATGTCGGCCATGTTGGTTGGCAGGCGGGGTCATCGGACACATTTTTTAAACTAAATACCCTAATGATGATTGTGGCTAAGCTTGGTTAAATTTGTCTCATTAGTTTCAGAGGAGAAGTTTTTGTAAAAGATTACAAAAATTTAAGAAAAATTGTTAAAAATTGAATTTTATTTGCTATAACTCCTTAAGGGGTCAATTGACAATTTTGGTCATGTTGACTTATTTGTAGATCTTACTTTGCCGAACGTTATTGCTGTTTACAGTTTATCTCTATCTATAATAATATTCAAGATAATAACCAAAAATGTACCAATCCAGGGGCAGCAACCAACCAACGGGTTGTATGAATTGTCTAAAAATTTCAGGAGAGATAGATCTTAACCTGATGAACATTTTTATCTCATTGTCAGATTTTCCAATAATGCTTTAGTTACAGAGATATAAGCCAAAAACTGCATTTTACCCCTATGTTGTATTTTTAGCCATGTCGGCCATCTTAGTTTGCAGGCGAGGTCGTCGGACACATTTTTTAAGCCAGATACCCTTATGATGATTGTGGCCAAGTTTGATTCAAAATTATTCGAGAAGATTTTTGTAAAAGTTAATGACGACGACGGACGCCAAGTGATGAGAAAAGCTCACTTGGCCTTATAGGCCAGGTGAGCTAAAAATCGAAAACAAAAACAAATTTCATAGTCTGCATGTGTTTCAATGACTAGCTGAAAGAAGTCGTTTCCTGAAAATCGGAAAGCAATCGTTTCCCAGAATGAACATGATGAAGGTGAACAATCTGAAGGTTGCAATTCTGTAAATATAGACAATGCAATTTCCCATAGGAACTCCCTTTGCGGCTAAAACTGTGACACTTTTACTATGAAGTTTCGTGAAAAATAATATCCCAGAACGGAAAGTTTATATGCACTACTATTTTATTCAAAGGTCAAAATATAGGGCTGTGCGGCATATTTTCAACATGTATATGCCCAGAACTTCTAAGAGTTTAAACTTATACTAAAAATCTATACTACCCTTACCTTCATATTTGGACCTCCTAAGAATTAAAATTTGGGCGCTACCATGTTTTTCTATACTGGTTACATTCCCAAGTGATGTATCTATGAGATGAAACACAGAGATCATAATTGGGAACCAGTACATTAACAAATTAACATATCTATGAATATTATATATCTCCCCAAAAGAGACGTGGTTTTAGAAACAGCTGTATTTACAAAGTGCAACCTATACAAACATTTATTGAAATAGAAAACCTTCTAAAAACACTTTTTTCTTACAACATTACTTATTTATCAGAATTATAGCCTTAAAGAAATCACTGCATATACTCTAAGTTTCCTTTTACAGTACATTTTATACCCCTACCCCTGTTTCAATTTTTTAAAGAATTTGAAAACAAGACTTTAATCATTGCCAGCTTACCCTATGTGCATGTTTTCTGACTTGAAATGTCTAAAACATGTTTGAAACTATTCTGATAACAAATTGAAAGCATTTTAGAATACTATAAATGTATTGTTTAGTAGTTAATCATTCCAACATTCAATATTATACAAAGTATCCAATCATGCCTGTGTCTCCAGTCCACATCTTACTGTATGCCTATTTGTCAATGAAAGTTCACAATTTCTGTCTCAAATGGTCAGTTAAGAATTCTTGTCACAACAGTATCATCTCTAACCATATAACTAACATAAGTTATTTAATGTATGAACTAGAAGTGTCGAAACAAAGCCATATTTGCAAAATTGTATTTAAGAAGATATCAGTCTGGTGCATAAGTTCACTAAAAGTTTGATAGAAATGACTGCTTACATCTTATGTTTGCATAACTTTCCAGCACAGTTATTATTATGTTTACAAAAGACCTTGAAAATAATAAAATCATAGCATTTACAAGTTAAATTATCTGTTTCATGACCCAGGGTAGGCTTTTTTTTTTTTTTTTTTGAACCCTGGGGCCTCACATTTCCTAAATATTTTCCCTGTTTCTAGCAATATGGAGTATTTAGTATATATTTATGATAGAATACACTATTGTAAGTTTTATTGAGGTCTTTTTGTAATTCTAGCTTGTACTTTTTAATGCCGCGGTCACAAAAAACCACATTTAGGTGTTAAGGCTTACTTTTGGGTTATCGACAGGACTAAAATAACCCAACAAAAATATTTAGGAAGGATCCATGAGTTGCAATGACTGCGAAGAGTAAATATGAGCACTTCTAAACAATTTAAATCACAAATAGGCATATATTATGAATTTATTTTGAATTCAGGGCTTTAAGAAAACCATGCATACTATAAACTGTGAATTTATGCTGAGTCATCATAGTTAAAGCTCAGGATTTTCTCAATCTTCATGAAATATTTATAAAACTTCATATTTGAGTTAAATTCTTTAAAATCTCTGCGATAAACCAGATTTTGTGAAATTCTGTATGTTCTATTTTTTAACCCTATATAGGTTGCAATTCTGTAAATATAGACAATGCAATTTCCCATAGGAACTCCCTTTGCGGCTAAAACTGTGACACTTTTACTATGAAGTTTCGTGAAAAATAATATCCCAGAACGGAAAGTTTATATGCACTACTATTTTATTCAAAGGTCAAAATATTTTCAACATTTATATGCCCTGAACTTGTAAGAGTTTAAACTTATACTAAAAATCTATACTACCCTTACCTTCATATTTGGACCTCCTAAGAATTAAAATTTAGGCGGTACCATGTTTTTCTATACTGGTTACATTCCCAAGTGATGTCTCTATGAGATGAAACACAGAGATCATAAATGGGAACCAGTACATTAACAAATTAACATATCTATGAATATTATATATCTCCCCAAAAGAGGCGTGGTTTGAGAAACAGCTGTATTTACAAAGTGCAACCTGAAAGACAGCGTTTCCCATGATTTTTTTTCAACGGGCATTTATGATAAGATTAAATGCATTTCAAGAAACAGAACAGTATTAATGAAAGGAAAGTCAATAGAGGATTTGAAACCCGAGTTGACTTTAAATATTTTAAACAGTTTCATTTTAAAAAAAAACGCATTCTTGTGTTCATTCGTTTACAGTGTTGGGTTTGTGGTCCCGTTTACGACCTGAATAAACATTTTTATGATGACATGTATTACATTTTTCTGAAGAAAAATATCTCTAGTGTTCCGTGAGATACAAGAAAGAACACCATTTACCATCCAATTTAAGTATCATCCATCCTCATTTCGTGTCTCCTGCTTATTCGTCAACAAAAATCTGAAAGCAAGCGTTACGCGTATCGGAAAGCAAGCGTTGCCGTCGATTGAATCGGAAAGCAAGCGTTCTGAATATACACCGTGTATCATACAATGCTATGACGTTGGCTGACGCCATACTCGTGTTCAACTGTTGAATCATAGCTATTTGCTATTATATTATTATTACAAAAACATTTCATGAGCGAGAAAATATCTATTCAGTCTTTTATCACATTGTGCATAATATGCCAACGATGTGATGATGACGGCGGAATAGTTATAGGCATAAATGAAGCTAGGAGGTTCACATTGATGTGTTTAGCAAAAAGTGTATTTCTTCTCGTTATTAGGTTTTTTTGTCCGTGACTCTACGTAAAATACCGCCTGAAATTTTTACACTTGTGTATTATTCCAATTGAAAACAGTACACTGTCAATAATTGAAAAGGACATACCGATCGAGAATTTTGTTGTCGTCATGTATTGTGTTTAGTTTTGTAGCTAATAAAATAATTTGCATCAGGAAAATGTATTCAAATTTGAACCATGACAGTAAAAACATTAGGAGATGTGGTATGATTGCTATGAAAATACTGTACAGTAAGCTATAAAACTCACCGGCATGGCACAATGAGATCAATTCAAAACGAAAAGCAAAATGATAGACAGCATACAACTGCAACCACTAAACTACAGGGTCCTCATTATTGACAGACACAAAAAGAATGTGGCGAGGTTAAACTTGTTTGTGAGCGCCTAATCTTTCCTTTACCAGAGACAGTGGTGTAAAAGCACAACGCAAGACCAAAAAGTAAAATCTAGTTGAAAATGGCTTTGGTCATTCAAACGGCATGCGGTACAGAAACAACTTATGCAATATATAAAGGACACAAATTACCGATCTAATAGTCCCCGCAGTGAATAAAAATTAGTTCAAAATCAATGAAAACTAATAGAATATAATCATCCGTTCTCAGATGTAGAATAGTATAAATAAGAACACATTCGAAGAAGTAAACGTGAAAACTTCACAATTAAAGGAGCATGTGGTTGCAGTTGTATGCTGTCTATTATTTTGTTTTTCGTTTATTGTTTTGTGCATAAATCAGGCAGTTGCTTTTCTCATTTGAATTGATTTACGTTTTGTCATATCGGGTTTTTGTAATACAAGTAGCTTACTATACAATTTGGGTTTTGCTCATTGTTAAGATCAGTTCGGTAACCTATAGCTGCTTAAATCAACGTCATTTGGTATCTGGTAGGTATTTGCCTTATTGGCAATCCTTCCACATCTTCTTATGAAAACATTTTGCAATGTCAAAAATATAAGTACGGATAGAATGTACTCATAGCATGTATCCAAGGACAATACATGTTCAATACTACATAGGAATACATATTAAGTTTTGTTTTATTTTATTTAGAAAAATCAATGTTACAGTTGAATGTTATTCGTCACTATCCCAATCATTGTCACTCCCACAGCTACTAGAACTTCAACCATCGGGTGATGTGTTTGACCTCCTTGCATCATCAGAGTTATCGGAACTGAAATCCGAACTGTCAGAATCAAGAACCCATCTTCTAAATCTCCTATTATATAGTATAAATCGCGGACCACCTTTATTTGATTTTACTGGCTGCACACCTTTATTTGATTTTACTGGCTGCACACCTTTATTTGATTTTACTGGCTGCACACCTTTATTTGATCTTACTGACTGCACACCTTTATTTGATCTTACTGACTGCACACCTTTATTTGATCTTACTGGCTGCACACCTTTATTTGATCTTACTGACTGCACACCTTTATTTGATTTTACTGGCTGCACACCTTTATTTGATATTACTGACTGCACACTTTTGTTTGATTTTACTGATTGCACACCTTTATTAGATTTTACTGGCTGCACACCTTTATTTGATCTTACTGACTGCACACCTTTATTTGATTTTACTGGCTGAACACCGATTAAACTATCATCGTTTTCACTATCGTTTTCACCGTTTGGCTCTTCAGTCACTGGGCCTCCTGTACATAGAAGTATATTAAGATTAAGAAAACAGAAATTCAGTGTGCAAATAGTAAAATAAATACCTTCGTCTATATTTCAAGATAAAGATAATAGATTAAAACTTTGAATTTTTCGAAAAACTAAAGATTTTCTTATCCCAGGAATAACTATTAATAAATTGATGACTGTTAAATTATCATTGACAAATACAACATGCATACTTGCCTGTCCCAAGTCAGGAGCCTGTCGTTCAGTGATTGTCGTTGGTTCATGTCTGTCATTTTTGTTTTCCATATATTGTTTTGTTATAAATAAGGCCCTTTTTTCAATTGAATTGTTTCATATTTTTCATGTCGGGGCCTTTTTTACCGACTATAAGGTATTTGGTTTTCTCATTGTTGAAGACCGTACGGTTGCCTATAAATGCTAACATCCACTTCATTTGAACTTTGGTGGATAGTTGTATCATTGACAATCATACCACATCTCCTTATTTTTATATATATAAGACACTTACAAGAAAAGAATGTAAAGCATTTATGTAATCTGTCTTTAAATTTCAAAGTTCGGGGTCTTTATGGCTTGCTTTGCAGTATGGGTTTTTCTAATTATTGAAGACCGTACGGTGACATAAAGGACTTTCCAGAAACTCACATCCGAAAGCCTGAATCTGATTTATTTTATAATTTATGATATAATACGTATTTTTACCTTTGTTTGGAAGTAAACTAGTATAATTACTGGTTCGCTGCAGTGTAGAGTAACGATGAGAAGTGAAATAGAAAATCATGTATTAATTTAATTTACAAAATTTCCAGTTTTTTAATCGAAATTGATAACGAGTATATTGGAAGACAAAATACTATTATTTTTTTCTTTTATATTTAATTAAACTAAATATTATCTTTAAATCAACAGGGGTTTAAAACCTCTAATAGTTGAACTTACATGATTTCATGGAAAGGGCTATAGTTGATAACTTCTATGCGACTGTCATACAAGTGAGAGGTTTAGCTAGCTATCCAACAGATTGAAATTAAATAATGTCAAAGGACAAATAAGAAAACGGTTGAAATTTGTTGATTAATAAAAGTGACTTGTTTTAAATATAAATAGTTTTTAACTGACAACATCTACCCAACTGTATACGCGTTCGAAAGAAATGTCGAAACGTCGACATGGAATCCCAAAGACAATAATCAGCCGGTTTATGACATTGGCCCGTGGGCATATATTGTGTCTCATAAGTCAACTTTGATTGAGTATTTATTTTACCTTATTACTGTGCGATGTTTATCATATTATAATAATTTGTTTATATTTTTTTAGACAAATGTGTGACACTTTAATAAAATAAATTATTAGTATTGCACAAATACTTTTGAATAGCTTGGTATATTTGAACCAAAAGAATCATTAAAACTGTTTTACTGGTTATCGGATTCTCACCGATTTAACTCTCATTTTTAAATTCCCAAAATTCTGTTATCGCGTCTCCACATTTTTTATATTTACATTAAATGTTTTTATGTGTGAAAAATATATATATACATATATAAAATAATATCTTTATACATACCTGCAACAATGTAAACTACAAATAAAGTCAGAATCCAAACCACAGCCAACTTTCCCATTGTGAAAGATTTGCTGTTCACACTATAAGTCTTCGTAACGTCCTCGTGCAAATGTTACCTGAAAATACATGTCCTTTTATAACTCAATAGAGATATGTGTATAATTAATAAAACAAAAAATATATTAAATGCATGCACAAAATTAATTATTATCTATTACGTTACATTAACTTTGCAGGTAACACAATCTATTCAGTTCTGTTGCCCTTTGCGTCTTTGGTGTATATATAGTTTTTTAATTGGCAATTATACCACATATTATTATTTAAATATTCCTGAATGAATTTATCATTCTGATATTAGAAAATGATCAGATAGAAAATGAGAACTTGATGTAACATGAAAAATATTAGCACTTTTCAAATATGAATTCTAAACAGATTTTGAATATAAATTCTTCACTATGCATTTTAGGTAAAATGAAATTCAATCAAAATTGGAGAACCTCCGCATACTGTATAAGCACCTAATGTTGACTTGGCGGACTGCAGACATGCATTATATCCAAACTCATGTGTTACAAAGGCGCCATAAAGTTTCTAAGAGAACTATTGGAATACTTGGGGTCTTCCGTGTCCTTTCGCTACACAAAATGCCTGACCCTTAATATAATGCATTCGTTATTTATATAGATTAGACCGTTGGTTTTCCTGTTTTCCTGTTTGAATTGTTTTACACTAGTCAGTTTGGGACCCTTTATAGCTTGCTGTTCGGTGTGAGCCAAGTCTCTGTGTTGAAGGCCGTACTTTGACCTATAATTGCTAACTTTTTTACATTGTAACTTGGATGGAGAGTTGTCTCATTGGCACTCATACCACATCTTTTTATTTCTTTTTACAATAATGTCTTTTTTTACCTTAATTGCAGAGACAGAATCAAGTAATTCAATTTATTTCTTAATCTTCTGCTAATCAAAATATTTTTTTTGCTAATCTTTGTCCTTTAATGGACTTACTTACATAAAATTTTCAAAATGAGAATATAAGTTATATCTATATCTGATAATAAAACTACATGTATCCCAATGATTTTATAGTTAGAACTTAAAGATGCTGTCATATAAGTCCTGAGATGTTTTCCGAAAGGCCAATATAATTAGCTGCAAGATTATTTATTGTAATGAAGGTACGCTGTCATTTTGCACATCCTTGTCAATAAATAAAATGTGCATCTGCTGACTGTTAATATGTTCGTCATGTGTTAAAGTGAACTACTTACTTAATAAACTAGAGAGCCTGTGGCGCCCACCTTGGTCTTTGGGCATATACAACAAAGGACACTCTCCAACATTGTAGACGAGAATAGAATTCATGACAAAAATCTCTGTTTTGTTGATCTTGTATTGCTGATCATTTAATCTGTTTATTTTCTCTCTATCTTTTTTAGTTTTTGCCCAAAACACAAAACAGGGTAAAGAAATTCTCATTTAGGAGCAATCACTCCTACAAAAAGTGACAGCCACTAACTATATAGGCAAAATTTGACTTGTTAGTAGATCTCGACTTGGTGATCATTTTTATGCCCCCGCAACTGAAAATTGGGGGCATATTATTTTACCCCTGTCCGTCCGTCCTTCCGTCCGTCCCATTATGGGTATATAACTATTCCAGATAACTCCTCCTACAGTTTGAATGCTAGGAGGTTTTCACTTTGCTGGCTTTTTGTACATATATTGAAGGTGTGCATGTGGTCAGGGTTTTGATTTTTATTAAATTGGTTCATTTGGGAGATAGTTGAACTTTGTCATTTGTTTTAGTATTTACTTGCATAAGATGTGCATGGCGTTTCAGGATAACTCCTCCTACAGTTTGAATGCTAGGACGTTTTCACTTTGCTGGCTGTTTGCACGTATATTGAAGGTGTGCATGTGGTCAGGGTTATGATTTTTATTGATATTTGCTCTTTTGGGAGATAGTTGAACTTTGTCATTTTTGGAGTATATACTTGCAAAAGAGGTGCATAGCGTTTCCGGATAACTCCTCCTACAGTGAACCATAGACCTATGTGCTCCCATGCTCAACTTTGTTTATTTAAAAAAAAAACACTTTACATCTGCGAGGGCATCATTTGTGTCTCCAAGACGCAATAATATCTCAAAGAAAGTCCTATATTGACTTTGTTATAATACAGTTACTTCAGAGTGGAGTGTTGGGGCATCATTTTGTCTAGTTGTGATTTAAAGTGTTTATTTATCTATTATAGTTTTGATCATACAAGGCAAAACGCAAACAATATGGTGAAAATCGTTTTTAAAGGGCAGTAACTCCAATAAGGAGTCGACTGACGTTTTTAACCATTATACTTATTTGTAGAACTTGTCCTGCTGATAATTTTTGCATTTTAAAGTTTCCCTTCATTTATTATAGTTTTCAAGCTAGTAGTCAAAAATGAACAAAAATGGTAAAATTTGTCATTTAAGGGTAATAACTCCTATAAGAAGTCGTCTAACAATTTTGACGTATACGGACAATTGGTAGAGCTCAACATTCTGAACACTTTTGCCCCTGTCAGATTTTCTCTATTTATAAAAGTTTTCAAAATAATAGACAAAACTTGCAATTTACCCCAATGTTCTATTTTTAGACATGTCGGCCATCTTGGTTAGCAAGCGGGGTCATCGACCACATTTTATTAACTAAATACCCCAATAATGATTGTGGCCAAGTTTGATTAAATTTGCCCCAGTAGTTTCAGAGGAAAAGATTTTTGTAAATGTTAACAGACAACGGAAAATCGTTATTAAACTCAATAACTCCAATAAGGAGTATCATTCAGATTTGGATTCTTAAAAATTCGAATGATCTACTCCAAAAAATCCAATCACAGTATTAAAAATTATTCAGTAATAATAAACCCTTTCTTTTTATTCTATTAAATCGAAACATTTTCTATTTCTATACATGCTTGTTAAAGATACAATATTGCAAATGTTATCGTAAAATGTTGCACTGAATGACATTATTGACCAACATGGTTCAGTTAACATTTGAAAGACTAGCTTGCAATAAAATATTCATTTTTAGTTCCAAAAGAAATGTTTTCTTATTTTCAGCATAACTTTTTTCTTGTTTATTTTTCGATAACTACAGAAATTTTTTTTGTTATATGGTGGATTATTGCTCTACAGATTTAAAATTACCGTAACGAAGGTTGCCCTGAATTAAGACACTAGATCTTTTTAGCAAGGAAAACTCTACATTATAATTAAAGGAAGAATAAATTAGACGATATCATGTTATATGTATAAGTACTCTGCCATACAAAATAGAATGATGCTTACACAACTTGTTAATTTGAATATAAATCATTTAACCAAAATCATAAATTTGATTAAAGGATTATATAATTCATTTAACAGTTGAAATCTGCAATGATATTTGCGATCAAAGAGTCAAAATTGTGCATACTTTGTATACTGTAAATAGACAATTTGTTTTTGGTGGTGAACATTTGTCAATAATGTAAATGAGATTTTTTAAATTCAAAACATTGCAATAAAACTATTATCGTTTAGATGAACTCAAACTGCAATTTGGAAAAACAAATTATTCACATTAATAGGACAAATTAAACCTTTCGAATATACACAGTACATGAATCATGTTAAAATGTTCTTATGATCGTGAAGTAAATATATACAATTAATTCAACGAATGTTTCATATTTATTAATTCAATAATATTAAAACATACATAATTTAGAATCCTTAAAAACAGGGGGAAAAGGCTTTGTCTGTTTCTGACATTTTTTATGAGCCATAAGTTTCCATGTGTAGTTATATCTCCGAAAAGATTTCAGTTAGAGGTTATATGCATCCGGTGACTCTGTTGTTGGAGTGAAGAAAAGATTTCAGTTAGAGGTTATATGCATCCGGTGACTCTGTCGTTGGAGTGAAGAAAAGATTTCAGTTAGAGGTTAAATGTATCCGGTGACTCTGTTGTTGGACTGAAAAAAAACACTTAATTCTCCCATGATGCTTATAAGAATTGGGATTTTGATTGTTATTCAAATGATTTTTTTTTAACTTTATATGAATAGGAAACGACAACAATGTTTTGATTATTGAGATTTATCGAAATGGCTGCTGGACATGATTTTGTCTTGATTTGGTGCTGCAGGATATGCTTTTGTCTTGATTTAGTGCTGCAGGACATGATTTTGTTTTGATTTGGTGCTGCAGGACATGATTTTGTCTTGATTTTGTGCTGCAGGACATGAATTAGTTCAATGTGCCTGGGATGATTGTGTTTGATTCTATGTAATTCTCATAATAAAGAAATCCAAACATACATAGTTGCCTAAAGTCGCCATGCAAAATGACATCTCACAAATGACGAAGAATGTACTGCCTTTACATACTATCGCCTCACCAGTCCAACAACACTGTTTATTCTAGTCCTTACCAAAAGCATGAACATAGTCTGTAAGTGGTTTAAACGCAAAAAGTAATATATGAATTTATTCTTAATGAAATAAGATTGAATTAAATTACTGATTACACGGTGTATATTCAGAACGCTTGCTTTCCGATTAAATCGACGGTAACGCTTGCTTTTCTATTCAGGAAACGCTTACTTTCCGATTTTGTACACGAAAATTACAGAGAGGATAGAAATGTAGGTTGCTACAATATTTAAAAAAATAATGAAGTATCAATTTTCTTGAATGAAATTGAAGTTGACGAATTAAAACAAATATACAGGTATTCATGATTTGTTGTTTCTTACAATTATAAATGAATGTGATTTCGTTTACAACAGAAATGCGTTGTCTTGTAAAACAAACTTCACAGCCAAACAAACCCAAATTTGAAAACTCTCATCCACATTTACTAAACTTTCTTAACATGTCTCATTGTAGATTTTTTTTTTTTATTACGTAATGTTTCAAGACTAATGACATGTCTGTGTTATCTAAGGCGGGGAGGGCTTCCATTCTTTATGGTAGGGGTGTCATATTTTTCATATGATTTTTTCATCAGGGAGCTAGAAATAGTGATCTCCCACTCGTTAATAGTAAGTCCCCCCTTCCCTGAGATGTTTTGAATCGAAGAACGTCACATTCCAAAATATGTCCAAAGGACAATACATATCTTTTCTTTTAGCATGATTGTGGTTGTGGTTAAACTTTTTTTTTTTGGTATAAATACCCAAAATTTGCCAAAATCTGTCAAAATTTCTGGATTATATCCCGTGGCTTATAACAAGCAATCTCTTTATATAATACGCAAGTTCACACATTGGGCCGTGATACTGTGATTGAACCACTACAGGTTGATTCTGTTCAGAGCTTTGGTCAGATAACAATTATTTGATGTATTAGTCCATTAATATTTTGCGGGTGTTGTTATGTTTAATATATTTTTCATGTACCCTTTTGTGGATGTAGTCATAGTTCTATATTTTCCCGTTTATTGTGTTGTGTTTTTCTTTCTTTCAAAAGTTTACCCTTTTGGAACACATGACTTGTTTTAAAATTTGTTTTTGTTTGAGGTTATTTTGGGGATTTTGTTTTATTGTTATGGCACCCTGAACGGAGTTGGGGTGACATACTGTTATTCTACGTTTCTTTTTTTCCTTTTTATTATTCTTCCACACATTATTGTCCGCGCTAGTTCTCAAAATTGAACGGACCAATGTTGATGGAATTCAACTATAATGAGGACCCCCATGTAAAGTTTTGCACCTTGCTATGGAATGGTAAAAGATGGCCGCCGTTTCCATGGAAACTGCAAAAATGCGAAAAAAATCAAAGTGTTCCAAACTGAAAGAAACTCCACAGGAATGGTAACTGGCATGTGCTGATTTGCAGTTTGACTTCGGAATTTTCAAAATAGCTGCCGTTACCATGGAAACAGCAAAAATGTCAAAATTTTCAAAATGCTTCAAACTTTATGAAACTTTACAAAAATGTTAATTGACATGTGTAGATGCACTCTTTGAGTTTAGAATTTTCAAAATGGCTGCCGTTACCCTGGCAATGGGGGAAGGGTGCCATCCGTTATTGCTAGCAATTACAAATCTAGTTTTATTTTTGTGTTTCATATAGTTTTGGCTTGTGTTGTAGATTTTTTATTTCTACTAAGAGAAATTATTATACACAAAGTATGATAACAAATAAATAACCTAAATGTTATGGGTGCCGATTTGAACTTTTTAATCTTTACTATGTGTTTTATTGGAGCGAAATATCCCGTTGCCGATCAAGCCAGGCGCAAAGTCGACTTGTTTCCTCCGCTGTGTCGCAGTGTGTAATTAAAAAAAAATTGAAAATAAAAACAAATTTTATAGTCTGCATGTGTTTCAATGACTAGCAAATAGTTCCATCTGAAAGAAGTCGTTTCCTGAAAATTGGAAAGCAATCGTTTCCCAGAATGAAGGTAAACAATCTGAAAGACAGCGTTTCCTAAGATCTTTTTCAACGGAGAAACGGAACAGTATTAATGAAAGGAAAGTCAATAGAGGATTTAAAACCCGAGCTAATTTAAATATTTTAAACAGTTTCATTTAAAAAACAATGCATTCTTGTATTCAATTGTTTACAGTGTTGCGTTTGTGGTCCCTTTTACGACCTGAATAAACATTTTTATGATGACATGCATTACATTTTTATCAAGAAAAATATCTCTAGTATTCCGTGCGATAAAAGAGAGAACACCATTTATCATCCGATTTAAGTATCATCCATCCTCATTTCGTGTCTCCTGCTTATTCGTCAACAAAAATCTGAAAGCAAGCGTTACGCGTATCGGAAAGCAAGCGTTACCGTCGATTGAATCGGAAAACAAGCGTTCCGAATATACACCGTGTATTATACATTGCTATGACGTTGAATGACGCCATACTCGTGTTCAACTGTTGAATAATAGCTAATTGCTATTATTTTATTATTACAAAAACATTTCATGAGCAAGAAAATATATATTCAGTTTTATATCACATTGCACATAATATGCCAACGATGTGATGACGACGGCGGAATAGTTATAGGCATACATGAAACTATGAGGTTCACATTGATGTATTTAGCAAAAAAGTGTATTTCGTCGCGTTACTTGGTTTTTTTTTTGTCCGTCAGAAACGCGACTCTACGTAAAATACCGCCTGAAATTTTTACACTTGTGTATTATTCCAATCAGAAACAGTTCACTGTCAATAATTGAAAAGGACATACCGATCGAGAATTTTGTTGTCGTCATGTATTTTGTTTAGCTTTTTTAGCTAATAAAATAATTTGCACCAGGAAAATGTATTTAAATTTGAACGATGACAGTAAAAATGTAAGGAGATATGATATGATTGCTATGACAATACCGTACAGTAAGCTATAAAACTTACCGGCACGGCAAAAGGAGATCAATTCAAAATGAAAATCAAAATGATAGACCACATACAACTGCAACCACTAAAAAGAATGTGGCGAGGTTAAACCTATTTGGAGCGCTCTTTTCCTTACCAGAGACAGTGGTGTAATAGCACATCGCAAAGCCAAAAAGTAAAATCTATTTGAAAATGGCTTTAATCATTCAAACAACATGATGTACAGAAACAATTTATGAAATATATAAAAGACACAAAATACCGATCTAATAGTTCCCGCAGTGAAAAAAAATTAGTTGAAAATCAATGAAAACTAATAAAATATAATCATCCGTTATCAGATGTAAATGTTATAGATAAGAACACATTCGAAGAATTAAACGTGAAAACTTCATGATTAAAGGAGCCTGTGGTTGCAGTTGTATGCTGTCTATTATTTTGTTTTTCGTTTATTGTTTTGTGCATAAATCAGGCAGTTGATTTTCTCATTTGAATTGATTCACGTTTTGTCATGTCGGGTTTTCGTAATACATGTAGCTTATTATACAATTAGGGTTTTTCTCATCGTTAAGATCAGTTCGGTAACCTATAGCTGCTTAAATCAACGTCATTTTGTATCTGATAGATATGTGCCTTATTATGAATCCTTCCACATCTTCTTATGTTTATTTTTTGCAATGTTTAAACTATAAATATGGATAGAATGTACTCCTAGCATTTATCCAAGGACAATAGATGTTCAATACTACATAGGAATACATATCAAGTTATGTTTTATTTTATTTGAAAAAATCAATGTTGCAGTTGAATGTTATTCATCACTGTCACTATCCCAACCATTGTCACTTCCCCAGGTACTTGAACTTCAACCATCAGCTAACCATAGCGGCACACCGTTATTTGATTGTGTTGACGGCACACCGTTATTTGATATTGTTGGCGGCACACCGTTATTTGATATTGTTGGCGGCAGACCGTTATTTGATTGTGTCGATAGCACACCGTTATTTGATTGTGTTGGCAGCACACCGTTATTTGATTGTGTTGGTGGCACACCGTTATTTAATTGTGTTGGCAGCACACCGTTATTTGTTTGTGTTGGCAGCACACCGTTATTTGTTTCAGTTTGTTCTGACGTCACATCATCTTCATTTTCGCTATCGTTTTCAGTATCGTTTTCAGTATCGTTTTCATTATCGTTTTCACCGTTTGGCCCATCGGTCACTGTGCGTCCTGTACAAAGAAGTATAATCAGATTAAGAAAATGGAAATTAAGTTTGCAAATAGTAAAATAAATATCTTTGTCTATATTTCACGATAAATATATAAGATTTATTAAATTGACGACTGTTAAATTATCATTGACAAAAACTACATGCATAGCTGCTTGTCCTGAGTCAGGAGTCTGTCGTTCAGTGATTGTCGTTTGTTCATGTATGTCTGTCATTTTTGTTTTCCATATATTGTTTTGTTATAAATTAGGCCTTTATTTTCAATTTAATTGTTTCATATTTTTAATTTCGGGTTATTTTTTACCGACTATACGGTATGGGGTTTCCTTATTGTTGAAGGCCGTACAGTTGCCTATAAATGCTAACATCCACTTCATTTAAACTTTGGTGGACAGTTGTCTTATTGGCAATCATATCACATCTCCTTATTTATAAGACACTGACAAAAAAAGAATAAATTTGACAGTTCGGGGTCTTTATGGCTTGCTATGCAGTATGGGTTTTTCTCATTGTTGAAGACCGTACAATGACACGAAGGACTATCTCTAATAGTTGACTCTACGTGCTATTCTTGAAAGGGCTATAATTTGATAACTACTATGCGACTGTCATACAAGTGAGAGGTTTAGCTAGCTATAAAACCATAAACTTTAAATACTACTAGTTTTTTATTATCCAACAGTTTGATGTCAAATAATGTTAAAGGACAAATAAGAAAACGGTCGAAATTTGTTGATAGATAAAAGTGACTTGTTTTAAATATAAATAGTTGTTAACTGACAACATCTACCCAACCGTATAAACGTTCGAAAGAAATGTCGAAACGTCGACATGGAATCTCAAAGACAACAATCAGCCGGTTTATGACATCGGCAAGTAGGCATGTATTGTGTCTCATAAGTCAACTTTGATTTTCTTTAGTAGTATTCATTTTATTTTATTTCTGTGTGATGTTTATCATATTATAATAATTTGTTTATATTCTCTTGGATACTACATGGCACCTTTGTTTATATTTTTTAGACAAATGTGTGACACTTTAATAAAATAAATTATTATTATTGCATCAATACTTTTGAATAGCTTGATATATTTGAATTTTAAATATTTAAAATTTAACTGCTGAGAGTGGATAAATATCGTATTGAACAAGATATGGTGGTGGAATCTGTTTCTGTAATGATTTTTATACGATATGCAGGCAAATTCAATCCTTCTTTTCGAATGATATGCAAAAAGGATGTGTTCTTTTTATGTGACGTCATCAGTCATGGTCGCCTTTTTTTCTTGACGTCACAATAAGAAATTCAAAGGAAACCAAGAAAATTTAACGTCATAATCGAATTTTCAATAAAGAAGAACTGAGACCAAACGAACCACACGTTGATTAAATAAAAAAAATATCAACAGGTCAGGAAAAGGATACATTGTGTAAGAATAATGGAAACATATACATAATACTACAGCACTATCTGTATACATACCTGCAACAATGTAAACTAAAAATACAGTCAGAATCCCTATCACAGCCAACTTCCCCATTGTGAAAGATTTGCTGTCCACACTATAAGTCTGCGTTACGTCCTCGTGCAAATGTTACCTGAAAATACATGTCCTTTTATAATTCATAAGAGATATGTGTTTAATTAATTAAACAAAAAATATACTATATGTATGTACAAAATTAATTTCTATAATTTATTACATTAACTTTGCATGTAATACAATCACGTGAATACAATCTATTCAGTTCTGTTGCCGTTCGGTCTTATCTTGGTGTATATATGTTTTCTAATTGGCAATTATACCACATCTTATTTAAATATTCCGAAATGAATTTATCCTTTTATATTAGAAAATTATCATATTGTAATAAAAAATGAGATCTTGATGTAACATGAGAAAGATTCCCTACTTTTCAATTATGAATTCTAAACAGTTTTTGAATATAACTTCTTCACTATGCAATTTAGGTAAAATGAAATTTAAAGAAAATTGAACAACCTTCGCACACTGTATACGCACCTAATGTTGACTTGAGTACAGAAATAAAGTCATTCCTACCTTCAGTCCGATAAAAAAACAGTGATTGTGAGATAGTTTTTGAAATAAAGTCACGTCCGGACTGCAGACATGCATTATATCTAAACGTATGTGTTACAAAGGTGCCATGTAGTATCCAAGAGAACTATTGGAATACTTGTGGTCTTCCGTCTCCTTTTGCAACACAAAATGTCTGACTCTTAAGATAATGCATTTGTTTTTATATAGATTGGACCGTCTCTTTTTTTGTTCGAATGGTTTTACACTTAAGTCAATTTGGGGCCCTTTATAGCTTGCTGTTCGGTGTGAGCCAATGCTCTGTATTGAAGGCCGTACTTTGATCTATAATTGTTTGCTTTTTACACATTGTGACTTGGTTGGAGAGTTGTCTTATTGACACTCATACCACATCTTCTTAATTTTTTTATACATCAATGACTTTTTTTAAAATTAATTGCAGAAACAGAATCAGTCATATCTTAATCTTCTGCTTATCAAAATGTTTTTGATAATCTTTGTCCTATATTGGACTTTCTTACAACACAGTTTTCAAAATGAGAATTTCAGTTATATCTAAATCTGATAATAAAACTGCATGCATCACAATGATGTTATAATTAGAACTTCTAGATGCTGTCATATAAGTTTTAATGTGTTTTCCCTGTGTGAACTACTTTCTTAATAAACTAGAAAACCTGTGTCGCTCACCTTAGTCTATGTGCATATACAAAAAAAACACTTTACAACATTGTAGACGAGAATAGAAGTCACGACAAAAATATCTGTTTTGCTGATCTTGTATTGCTGATCATTTAATCTTTTTATTTTCTCTCTATCTTCTTCATTTGTTGCTCAAAACACATTGACAGTCTACTAACTGCATGAATATAGGCAAAAGTTGACTTGTTAGTAGCTCCTATGCTCAATTTTGAGTACTTTTTAAATAACACATTGCTTCTGCGGGGGCATCATTTGTGTATCCCAGACACAATAATATCTCAAAGAAAGTCCTACACTGGCTTTGTTTTAATACAGTTACTTCAGAGTTGAGTGTGAGGCATCACTTTGTCTTGTTGTGATTTAAAGTAAAAAAGAAGATGTGGTATGACTGCCAATGAGACAACTCCCAACAAGAGACCAAATGACACAGAAATTAACAATAGGTCACCGATAAGGCTTCCTCAGACTGCCAAGATTGCCGATGGTCATTTGACCCGATATAAACATACACATTGAATTAGATTGAAAGACATGCACGTACAATAGTAAAATGCCGATTTTCTATGTCTGTTTGATTTCATACCATATTTTTAAAAATATTTATTCATTTTTTTTCTTACATTGCAAGTTTGTATATGAATATTTTTGAGGGCCGAATTAGTCAACGGAATCGTTGTTAGAAGCCTTCAATATTTTTATATATTTCAATGCAAAATGCTATTCAATGTTTATTTGCCCTCAAATCCGAAAAACGACATGCAGTTTCAAAGGACGTTGTGATAAAGAGGAAATATTTCCTAATACCAATTATGAAGGTAATTTATAATCTTCTTTCATTCCCAAGAACGGAAAAAAGATCGTTTAATTGAATGCAATGGTTGCGTGTTGAATGCGTGTAAGGTCCAGCGACAAATGTTTGAAGCATGATCAATACACGGAAATAGACCTTTATAAAATAAAAAAACTACTAAACATCAAGTGCCATATATTTTTTAGACTATTATTAATTTCGACACGATAAAACAGGTATTCTAGCAAAATCTATGTAGAAAAAAATGTATAGTGATTTCTTTTTCATTTTGTTTTAATCTTTCATTAATTATTACATCAAGGAGGCGGAGCTAGTTAAAAGCCAAAACAATTAATAATAAAAAATCATGCATCAGAGACTGAAATCAACTATAATACATCCCAGGGATTTAGTATTTTAACGTCACGAACAGTCAAAGAAGACATGACTTGTGCAATGCCAAAAATAAATGTATCGACAGGGAGTAGGATAGTTAGAAGTGACTTCTTTGTAGATAAAAATGAACGTGTGTGTGTCTCTATACATAACGTTTAAAAAGAAAATACAAATTGAGTTATGTTTTAATTTGCTAATGACAAAATCTATATTAGTGCCAATGTAAACTATATTCAGAGATCTAATTACAACATTGGTACGATAACCCTTACTAATAAGTTTGTTTAAAGGTTCGATGAGTTTACACGGATCACGTAGTGATTTCCGCGCTTTAAGTACAATATTACCATAAAATTTAGGATGTGAAATACCATTTTTGATAAGTTTTCTACAGGTACAGCCAAATTTACTAATCAAATCTTTGTATATATGAAAGAATTTAGTAAAAGTTTTAAGTAATTTATGGTAACGAAATCCCTGACTTAATAATTTACCAGTGATGCATTTATTACGTTCGTTAAAACCTATGACATCACTACACACACGGGCATACCGAACGAGTTGGGATTATAAACACCGTATGATTGAGCCAAAGGCACATCGCCGTCTAAAAAACGAAAATTAACAATAGGGAATGAAAAATCGTCCAGATAAGGGTAGGCATTGTTGAATGTACCAACCAAATGTAACAATGATGTGTCTTTACTGAGTTTGGTCATAAACTGAGATTCATAGCAATACAGGAATAAATCTGCTATTAAAGGGGCGCAGTTAGTGCCCATAGGAATACCTATTACCTGACGATACACTGTATTGCCGAAACGTACATATATGTTATCTAGGAGAAAATTTAAAGCTTAAATCATAATTATCCTCACATTTCCAGTAAGTGTATCTAGCGTACTTTCCTTTTTCATCACAAAAAAGGCTTCAAACGAGTTACAACAAATAAATTAACAATGTCATTTTTCGGAAGACCATCTATAAAACATATTGTGTGGAAGTGTAGTGTAGAAGGTAGAAAAATCATAACTGTCAACAGAATTAAAAGGACCATCAAAATTATGTATTTTATCTACAACCTCTAAAGAATTTTTAACACCCCAAATATAATTAATACCATTATTTTCATAAGCTTTATTACAAAAGTAAATAACCAGTTCTTTGATAGTAGTAAGGAAGGTAGTAAAAGAGGGACAAAAGATACCAGAGGGACAGTCAAACTCATAGATCGAAATCAAACTGACAACGCCATGGCAAAAAATAAAAAGACAAACAGGCAAATAACAGTACAGATGACACAACATAGAAAACTAAAGACTAAGCAACACGAACCCCACCAAAACTGGGGATAATCTCAGGTGCTCCACATGTGGCACCCGTCGTGTTGCTTATGTTATTACAAATCCGGTTAATAATCTAATTCGGTAAGTCAGAGGCACTGATAGATTAGTAGTAGAACACTTACTAGATGCGGAGATGAAACGGAATTTATATGGTTTTTTGTGTAATTTTGGTAACCAGTACATGGTAGGGACTTTCAAATGTTCGGGAGAGGCTTTAAGCTGGGTAGTGGCAGTGATATGCTTGTTAGCGATTTGACTCTCAGTGGTGCGTACGGACCTGAATGTAGAGGAATTGATAATTTCGTTTTGAAGAACTTCCGTGTAGTATATGCGTCATACCACCACTACATTATTGGCTGCCTTGTCTGCCGGTACGAACACAAACCGCTCTGCGAGTACTTGGAGTTTATTTTTTATTCTAGAAATGGGAATATCATGGACCCTATTATTAATTTAAGAATTGTTTTCAAAAATGAGATATTCGAATATTAACAGTATTCATAATTTTATTCGCACATTTACGGTTTTAAAATAAATAAGTGCTCTTATATTGTTGAAAAATAGGTATATCGGTTATATTTAAACATTATATACTTTCAATTTGGTAGAATACAATGATGTTTTGTGTATATTCTTTTATGTACATTGTGTTAATATATATACTGGTTGAAAAAAGGAGGTTAATATGCTCTAAAACAGAACCAGTTTAACCCTTGACAAATAAATGTGCCTGTCTTAAGCAATGATCAACGTCGACACATTTGAATTGCGATCAGTTCATACCTCTCTTTAAATACCAGGAACTGTTCTAGAACAGTCTGCAGAACTGTTTTCGTACACCTGATCAAGAACAGTTTCTCATGACAAACGTGGTATTACCATAGAACAGTTTTGGACAGTTCTAACTTAGGAAATAGTCTGCCCGTTCTTCCTCAAAACAGTTTCTGACAGTTCTTTCTCTAGAACAGTTTTGAAAGCTCTAGCTGTTTATATAGTATATAATTAATTTAGTTATTCTATTTATTCAATCATTTTTTTTAACATTTTGTGACATCTAAAACTTGCTGTTGGGTTCTAAACATACAGGTTGTCGTTATCATGCTTTTTTGAGTATCTCCTTTTTGGCCGGAAATGATTAGAAGGCAAGGTATTTTTAATTAGTAAGTGTCCGGATTCGCCGATAAGAATATTTAACAACTATGGATGACAACTCGTTGAAGGATTACTAATCATAAAATGATTACAAAATGGACATTATATCTACAAATTCAATGACCACAATTATACACAGATTACGTTGAGTAGGTTGTTGTCTAATGGATGTAAGTCCCTC